TCTGTTTATACATTCTTTTTATAGATACAAATATTTAAGTAAATGCTCTGTTTATAATAAACAGTATTAAACAACATTTACCGACCTGAATGTCCGAGAAATTTTCATAGAAAATATTCGTCCTCCGACATGAAGCGAACGTGTATTCTATACGGAACAGTCATATAGCCTGACGTGCCTTTAACCGATTGGGCCACAGAGGAGCGTTCGGTTAGCAAGGTCGATTTTACTGTCTTTAAACTACAATCTTCCATGATTCTCTCACGTACATTCATATCTGCTCAATGCGTATCCAAATATAAACAAATGAGGTCACACTTTATGAAATGGACAAAGTCCGACAATTATTTTAAGACATTTTTAATGTTCATACGTTCTTTTTATAGATACAAATATTTAAGTAAATGTTTTGTTTATAATAAACAGTATTGATGAATGTCCGAGAAATTTTCATAGAAAATATTCGTCCTCTCACAGAAATCGAACCTGTATCCTACACATCCTGTATCCTATATATATGTATTTTGTTTATTATATTATGTTGTATTATTATTTAGTTTATATCATTTTCTATTGTATTTATTATATTATATTAGTATGTAAGTTGAAAACTAAATATTTACTAAAATGTTTGCTTTTATCCAAATATTTTTTATTAAAAAAAATTCTTCTAAACACCTTTTACGTTTTCTGTTATTAATATTATTGTTTTTTATTGTTTCCTATTTAATTTTAGTTGATATATTTTCTTCTTTTTGACTCGGATATATTTTATAATGTTATTTGCATATCTAATATAAATGACATTTTATAATTATTAAATCTTTCTTTAAATGTTGCTTTAATTGCTCCTAATTAAAAATTTATTTTATGCATTTGCTTCATATATTATTGGTTAGACATTTATTGTTAAGTCGGCAGCTGTTCTTATTTCGGCAGTTACAATGATTGCTGCTACTTTGACAGGTTTTTATTCTAATTTATTCGAATAACCACTTTTTCGTAATGCTGCATCATATATTTTTTATTGTCATTAAATATATTTATATTGCTAGAATTTTTTATATTGCAATTCTTTTATTAACAGATATTTGTATATGCATTATGAATTGTTCTTTATATATATATATATGGGATTTTTTATTTGTTTTCCTATATGCTTTGTAAGTATTATTATTTAAATTAAATGTTATGTCTAGAAAATTTACTATTTTGAGATTTTATGTCTATTGTAAATCCTAATTTCTTAAATATTTCTATCACTTGTTTTCTTATATTTTCTATTTTCAAGCATTACAGTTTCTTGCAATTACTGAACCATAACCTCTAAATGAACCAATATCCTTTTTATCAATGACATTTGATAAATTATGTATGATATATATCGCAATAAGTTCGCATATTTAGCGCCATCATAACAGCCGTTTGATACGTGAAAGTTATCATTATTATTATTGCTATTTCTTTTTTTTAACGATATTTTATTGTAGCATAATAATGATTTTATGCAATGATTAATTATGTCTAATTCTTTGCCTTGAATGTTTATGCGTTGTATTGCTAAATTTAATCCTTTATTTAATAAATATTTGGTAATGCAGCGATAAAAGTTTGATACCTATTTGTATAAAAGAGCATTTGTTTTTGTTTGTAATATTGTTAAACCAATTAATAGTTTCTTTTTGTATTTTTCCATTATATTCAATATTTTTCTTAATGTCAAACATATTTTCTACCGTTTGTTTATTTATTTTTCCTATATTACTTTTTTGTTGGATTTAATAATAAATTTAGTTTTGCTTAGAAAATTATCCGCTTGATCTTTTAATTTAATAAAAGGTTCTACTTTCATTAATTGCTTGTGTTATTTAATTTTAATTTTACTGCTATAATTTTTTTTTGTTTCTTTATATCATTTTCGGATTTGTTGTGGGTGTTGTTATAAAACCTATGTATCTCTTCTTCGATTAGTCTGTTAAATTTGATAGATTCCATTTTATAGTTTGTTCTTGATTTCTCTGCTTCAATGACTTATTTGATTGATTTATTGATTTTATGTCATTTGTTAATTGTTTTGGAAATTTACTCTTGTTTTATTTTGTTTGTAATATTTATTAAATTATTTTCGAAATTACTTATCTTTTTGTCGTGGTTTATATTTGACGAAGTTTTGAATTTATTGTTGTTATTAATATTATTTTTTATCATTGTTAACAAAGTAAAATATTTTCCATTTTAACCTTTTTATGAATTGTTCTAGTTTTCAATAAATTTGATTTTATATTCGTGTACATTTGATGTCGGAATATTTTTAATGACTAATCAAATTGTATGGATTCCATATTTCTTAAGAAATATAATAGTAATAAATCGATATAATCAATAGTCTGCAAAAATACCGGACTTTGGAATTGTTTTTATGCCTGGATCTTATTGAAAAGTTAAGATTTCAAAGTGAGGTAGATATTTTCATATAGTGTTCAATATTAAAAATACAGCATTGATAACATTATTTTTATATATACAAAAGAATTACTTAATTGTGTTCGACTCCACAGTTTCGTGCTATGTCCATTTTTCATGTTTTTTAGGCAGCATATCTTCTTTTAAGCATGCTTTCGTAAATAAAATACATATATTGATGTCTATTTGTATATTAATCATTTCTAGTTCTCTCATCTCCTTGGTGTTGAATTGAAATTCATCAAGGAAGACATCTTTTATTTCGATGTGGATATGATCGCAATACTTGGATTAATAAAAAATACAGCACCTTCCTTAATTAATTTTAAGTTAACATCAAGAACATAATTAGAGAAATAGAATTATATTAAAAATAGACATGATATGTTTATAATATGTAATGACATACATACATATATATATATATATATATATATATATATATATATATTCACTATTTACATCATTCAGACTATTGTCCTCATCTTTGTCGCCATATGTATTAAAACGTTTCGGCCTTGTACGTTCTGGCCTTCTTCAGATGGTTGGAATGTCGAACTGAACCCTTTTGATTTCGCTCACTGGGGTAGACTGTTCTAGTTCCACGTTCCATGTTTAATGGATGTCAGTTACCTGTTATCTCTTGTTAATTCCCTCTCCAAGTTCTCCACTGCCTTAACCTTGCACAGTAGATAAAGGCGTTGGCTAGATCCAGTAACAGGACCCAAGAGTTTAAGTTCAATACCCGGTTAGGACAGTGGAAAAGGAGTATCATGATGCAATTCACTCCGCCAGAAATTTGGAAACGGCATGCTGTACTGCTTGGCATTCGCACCGGAAGTTCAAATACGAAAATTTCAGAGTGTTTAGATGTCAATCTGAGGACCGTGCAGAGAATTCGGAAAGAGTTGGATGAGCCTAATTGTAATTACAAAGGTAGTTGGAGTGATCGCTATTGATGGAGACGGTATGCCTCCATTCATCTTCCGACAGGGCCTCAGACTCAAAACGGAGGCCTACATCAAGTGCGTTGAGGAGGTAGGGCAGTCTTGGGTTAAGTGGCTGGCAGCTGGAAGAACTTCTGTGTGACAACAGGACTCTGCACCATGCCACACAAACAGGAGAACTCAGTCATGGGTGTCAGACAATTTCTACGACTACATAACCGCTTACATCTGGCCACATATCTCCCCAGACTTCAACCATCTTGATTATTACGTGTGGGGTGCAGTTGAACGAAAGACCAACAAAACTCCTTGTAACAACAAAGATGAAATGAAGGCAAGGATTATGGCAGCATTCACCAACTGAAACAAGGAGACCGTGGTCGAAGCCACTGGCGATTTCACTGAATAGATTTACTTTCTCGTATTTCAAGATCAGTCAGTTATGTGCCATGCGTGATACACGCTTAGGCGATCATGTATCTTTCGATCTATGACTGACGAGGCAGATTTTCCCCCGCAGTAGGTTGCCATTTCTTTCTGCGGTAGACCAGTTGCCATCCAAGGCTATAGAACCCAGTCTGTCCTGCTATTTATCCAAAGTGAGGGAGAGAAGAAGAGACTTCATACCTTTCCCAAGGTTATTAGCAAGTAAGTAAATGCAATGGATTCGACTGGAATTCGAACTCGGCTCTACGATTCCTCAATCCGAGCCGCTATCTATTGTAATTTTGGTAAATATATCTCTGTTATGTTCTTTGTGTCATTTCGACGACAATTTATCAATTGCACACTGTATTATTCTTTTCGCCGATGCTAGAGAAGTTAGTCAATCTCTCTAAACTAAGGTTTCGTTTCGTTTACGGCACAACACCTCAATGGGTCATTTAATGCCCACAACATTTTTTTTCCTGGAAATATTTTTGTTTTGTCAAAAATCTATTTCTGTTAATAATTTTCCTCAAAAATGTGTAGCTGGTAATATTATTTTTTCAAAAACGTATTGCTGGTAATAGTTTTTTTCAAAAACGTATTGCTGGCAGTTTTTTTCAAAAACGTTTTGCTGGTAATAGTTTTTTTCTTCAAAAACGTTTTGCTGGTAATAGTTTTTTCTTCAAAAACGTATTGCTGGTAATAGTTTTTTTCAAAAACGTATTGCTGGCAGTTTTTTTTCAAAAACGTTTTGCTGGTAATAGTTTTTTTCTTCAAAAACGTATTGCTGGTAATAGTTATTTTTTTCTTCAAAAACCTATTGCTGGTAATATATTTTTCTTAAAATATGTATTGCTGGTAATAGTATTTTTCTTTAAAAAAAAACGTATTGCTGGTAATATTTTATAATGCTTTTTACCTCAGTTTCACACCTACTGAGGTATATTTGTGTTTGTTCAACACCTACAGGGCCCTCTTGTGATTTATACAGCAACTATGAACTTCAGACAAAAGGAGGAAGGCCGGAGAGCCTATCAGCAGAAATGCGACACCGTTGGACCGTAGACACATTGATGGAATACAAATGACCAAGAATGGATGAAAAATGTGTTTGAAGAGAATTTCTCAAGACAAACACATTGTGAAGACCGGAAAATAAATATGGAGAAAAGTAACGAGTCTCCCTCCAAGGCAGAGATTTCAGCTGAGAGGAAGGAAGCGAAATCAATAAGGCGGGGTGCGTTGGGGGTTGGGTTTGAAATGGCAGCAGTGAAAAAAATCTATCAGCGATAGAGCTCTCCATGAATGATAGAGACGAACAGAAGTGGTGGTGCTGGTGGTGGTGGGGCGGTGTTGAGATTAGTAAGCAGAAAATCACCCCGATAATGTAATATAAGTTATTTCAGATTGTATTGTGATTGACAAATGAAAATCTAATCTTTTTCAATCTGTTCTAATCTATGTATCAATATATTTCATTTGATCATCTGTCACACGCTGGATGACATCTGTCAGTGTCTCGCTTACTCTTTATTCTTTAAGATCCACCTATCTATCTATCTATCTATCTATCTATCTATCTAATTTTTAAACATCTATCTATCTATCTATCTATCTATCTATCTATCTATCTATCTGTTTATTAAATCCAGAGTTACGTCGAGGAAGTTTACCTTTTTTAATTTTGTACAAACTGTTGTAAAATGGAAAATTATAAACAAAACTAGAACTTGTAAAACCTGGGATGACCAATGCCCTTTATGCCTACATGAAAAACTACACATTATTAAGTTTCTAAATAATGAAAATTTATTAAAAAATAGACATGAGTTAACGGTTTTTCCCGACATCATCAAATTTTCGCATTGAATAATTAGCATAAAAAACAAACAAACAAACAATAAAATAATAAATACAAATTTTAAACTCCATAGTCTAAATAAAAAATGCCCTACCCAATAAAAAAAAAAAAAAATGAAAAAAAAAAAATATATATATGAAGTCGTCAAAAAAATAAATGTTAGAGAATTATGACAGTTTTTTTTTATATACACAAAACCCTTTCAGGGAAAAATAAATAAAATAAAATAAAAAAATAAATAAATCTCCATAGACATTTAACCAGACTAGACGATGTCATCTTCCGCTTTAAATTTAGACACCCCAACCTTACCCTGACTTGACCTCTTTGAATGTAACTGAGATATTGATACAAATTATTAACCCTTACGCCCCTTTTTTTAAATAATTGCTCTAGCCGTTACCACAGTAATCTTAATTTTAATAATGAGTATGCTTATAAAAACGCATAAATTTCAAGAATTAGTTATTCGAAAAAAAATTTCGCTGTAAGATGGAACAGAGCTTGGTACTTTAATTCAAGGCTCTTGTTTTGAAACATGAGAACTCTTATGTAGCGATGGAATCGTATTTTTAAATAAATAATTTTATTTAGGCTCTAATTTTGTATCGAGCACTATTTTTTTTTAAATAATAACAAAAATATTAAATTTATTATTGGATTATTCACACACACACACACACACACACACACACAAAAAAAAAAATTATTATTATATTATATATTATATTCGGTCTGGTTTTACATTGAGGTCCCTGGATTACATTCTCTTTGGGATTATCCATACAGATTACCAGGCGTTTCATTATCCCTATATATATATACATACATATATATATATATATACGCACACACATATATATACATATGTAATAAATATAATAAATAAATAAATTTACAATAATAAATATAAATAAATAAATTTATTATATCCTTAGTCTGTACATGTATGTGTATGCACCTATGTATATATATACTATGTATGTGTATATTTACCACTAATATTATCAATATATATATATATATATATATATATATATATATATATATTTGAATAAAAGACAGACCACGTTAAGATTCCATGTAATAAGCTATTTCACCATAACCCCTTTAACAGGGTTATTGAGCTCTCTGGATATCATCCTCCTCAGGTCTACCCATACGGATTACCTAAGTTTGCATAAACTATATATATATATATATATATATATATATATATAAACAAATCTGTAAAGAGGCAGGAAAAATAGGGTATCACAAAATGGATGCATATAAAAAAGTGCTCGATGCCTTGAAAAAGGACATTCAGGCTAAGTAAATATAATAAAGAAGCAAAAATACTTTATGTAACCGCACACTACCTTGGTTTCAACCGTCAGGTCACCACGGGTGGCGGGCAAAGTGCTTTTGATCCTTTATTATATATATGTATATATATATAATAAACACTCAGTTGCTCATACGTCGAAACCGACGGGAGAGTCCATTATATATATAGTCGACTCTCCCGTCGAGATTCGACGTATGAGGGTCAAGCAGATCAGTTCCCAGAAAACCGACAGCCCGACAACAGCACATGAGATTTGATTATAGTGGTGAAGGCCACGTGCAGGACCATCCACACTTTTTCAAGGGACGAATACAGAGACGTGGTGCACCGAATGCCACAAGGAACACAAACGACCCTCCGCAGGTTTTGAATTCAGAAATGTCCTCCAGTTGCCTAGACCAGTTGCCATCCAAGGCTATAGAACCCAGTCTGTCCTGCTATTTACCTATAGCTGGTGGGAGAAGAGGATTAATACCTTTCCCAAGGGTATTAGCACGTAACTGAATGTAATGGATTCGACTGAATTTCGAACTCGGCTCTGCGATTCCTCAATCCAAGCCGCTATCCACTACTCCACCGTGCCTCCTCCTCCCCTCTCTCTCTCTCTCTCTCTCTCTCTCTCTATATATATATATATATATATATATATATATATATATATATATATATATATATATATATACGTTTTATTAAATAATATAGACAAGTGTTGTCGTTATAAATCAAAAGATGCTGCCTAAATGCACACAATATATATATATATATATAAATATATATATATTATGTGTATTTAGGCAGCATCTTTTGATTTATACACGTTTAAAAGAGTTTACATAAAATAAATAGACAACACTTGTCTATATTATTTAATGAAACGTATATATATATATATATATATATATATATATATATATATATGACTGTACATTTCTAATGTTCTCTTCATGTACCTTAATTTGCTTTTTTTTAACTATCAAGGGCGCCTCTGTGTGGAGTAATGATTAACGAGCTCTTCTGAGTGATCATTAATACTGAATGGTGGCCTTGTGTCAAACTAAGCTAATGTAAGTAATCCAGTAAATAACCCTTATCTGTGTATCTCTGCTTCTCGTTCTGTTCTTACCTGTGAAGCGATGTATCTATGTCAGTTTGTTGGTGTCTCTCTGTCAGTTTCTTTATAATCTATCACGTTATCTATCCTTCCTTCCTTTCTTATCTATCCGTGTGTGTTCATCTGTAAACAAATATGTCAAGAGTGTATCGATGGCGGCTCCAATCATTCCTTGGCACGTAAACAGTTCGAACGCATGTCTGCCTACGTGATTACGCTTTCCTGAGCGAATATCCAGAGACAGTAGTCCTTGAGTGGCATAAATGGCTTCGAGTAGATATAAAACGAAAGAGAAGGAGAGACAAAAAAATAGAGAGAAAGATAAGAATAAAAAGGAATAAAAGAGAACGACTGAGAGAGAGAGAGAGAGAGAGAGAGAGAGAGAGAGAGAGAGAAACAAAGAAAGAAAGAAAGAGAGAAAGGTGGGGACACTTTCTTTTATGTATCTTGTCTCTTCAGGACGTAGAAGATCATAACTCTTCATAGTTTTGTAACTACCCCCCACACCAAATTCCCCGTTTTACTGTCCAATGACACAAACTCTCGTTAGGTACGCTATTTACTGATTCAGTTGTGTTATTTCTGCCTGTGTGTTTTAAGTTCTCCGAGCTCTCTTTCCTTATCATGCTTCCAGTAAATTTCAACTACCATATATGTCGGCGTACAAGGCGACCTTTTAACCTTGCCCTCCAAATAGGCTACCGTCTTATACTCCAGGTATAAATTGTTGGCCTCAAATCCTTTGGCTTATGGTAACCTGTTATCATGCAAGATTTTTGACGGTAGGCTACCCCCTGCCTTAGTAACTATCAACATAAATATTTTCTATTGAAACAACTTAATTCCCATTATTATAATAAAATAATAAAAGTGTAATATAATAAAAGTCCTCTTATTTTATATAACATGTGCTATGATTACACGACAATGATAAAATGCATATTTGTCAACTAAACTATCATCAAACACAGTAGATTTTTGTAGTTAATTGATTGACACTATCTTGCCTCTTCTTTTTCAGTGATGTTGAACAAAAACACGACTGGATGTGTGTCTCGACAAGCCATTTAAAGATCATGTTCCAGAAGAGTGGAATGAGTAGATGGTTAGAGGGTAAATGACATTCAGGTGAACGTAATAGCATACCGAAAACACAGCATGCAGTCACAAGGTATTGTAGATTGAATATCCCTTCACCATTTTTTCATTAGAATTTGAGTGAAAAGAAAATATATGCTTACTGACTTTATTTAAAAAATCCAGTACATTTTAAAATACAATTGTACAGTGAATATAACCTGAAACCTACAATTGTACAGTGAATATAACCTGAAACCTACATTTTAACTCGAAAATTTTTGGGTCGTCTTATATAGCCAGTCGCTTTGTACGCCAGCATATACGGTAATCAGCTTGTATAAATGGATGGTAGAACAGGAACTAGTACAGATAGTAATATAATAATCACTGATTTGAGCTACAAAGGATAGGAAGTTGTGGAGAGCCATGATTGCTCACGTTCTGAATAGGCATGGTGCAGAAAAGTATATCTTTAGATATTGTCTAGAAGTGAAATATTGTTAAAAGCCTTTTTATATATACTTCTTTGTGTTAAAGTTGTTATTTCTGTGAAGTTAGCAAACTCTTTTTAATTATTCAGACAGTTTGCATATCAAGCGCCCAGCCAAACATAAAAACCCCAAAATAGATTTGTTAACAAGAAAAAAATGCCTGATGTCAATTATTAGACATAATTTATAATCATTAACAGATGTGCTTTTTAATTTCATTAGAATCATGAATGAATCCATGAGTAGTTAGAGAATTTAGTAATTTTGTTTTGTGTCAACCCCAGTATGTCTTTCCAACTGAGCAATGGTGAGAGGAAAAAGATCATTAAGGCTTTCAGTAATGGTACCAACATTCATGCTCTGACTTCCATTTTCAAAGTCCATTCAAGAACCATCAAGAGACCAGTGAATAAGTTTAAAAAAGAGGGAACAGTAGAGAGGAAAACTGGATCAGGAAAACAGAACAGGAAGAGGGATCCTCATTTCAACTTAGAGCTAAATGCATTCTTATTCTTCAAAGTAGAGTCCCAATAGTGTTATAGATTAATCTAGCAATTGGACAATTTTGCAGTTTCAGGATTTGGACAATTTGGCCGTTACACTCTGCATACATACATACAATATATATATATATATATATATATATATATATATATATATATATATATATATATATATATATATACAGTAATTTAGCTTGAAAAAGAACAGTTTAAAATCGTTTTGTGTCAGCCCCACTATGTTTTCCCAACTGAGCAATGGTGAGAAGAAAAAGATCACCCAGGCCTTCAGTAATGATACCAACATTTATACTCTGGCTTCCATCTTCAAGGTTTATTCAAGAACCATCAAGAGAACGATGAATAAGTTTAAAAAAAGGGGAAATAGTAGAGAGGAAAACAGCAAGATTGATCATCATTTTAACTTAGAGCTAAATACATTCTTATTGTTCAAAGTAGAGTCCAATAGTGTCATAAAAACCTCGGAGAGATTCCAATAAGCTATCTTTAATCATTTTACGCTTCAAGACTTAATCTAACAATTGAACAAATTTTGTTGTTACACAATTTGGACAAGTTTGCTGTTACGCGATTTGGACAATTTTGCTGTTACACGATTTGGACAATTTTGCTGTTACATGATTTGGACAATTTTGCTGTTACACAATTTGGACAAGTTTGCTGTTACACCCGGTAGGTACGGTTGACATTAGATAACAGTTCAAAACACTTTCTTTAGCTTTTATTTTCTTACTTGTCTAGTTTTTGGAAGGCATCTTTCGTTGTTACTGTGCCTTCTCGGATTTTTGTATCATATATTTCGTCGTTAAATCATCATAATAATAATAATAGTAGTAGTAGTAGTAATAATAATAATAATAATAATAATAAAAAGAAGAAGAAGATGAAGAAGTCTGGCAGAAGGCCAAGGCACAAAACAAACTGAATTCCTTATATTACCAAATACTTTCCGGGGGTAGTTTTTTTTTTTTTTTAATCGGAGCTCTACGGTAGGAGCCTGGAGAAAAAAAATTATTGTAAGAAACATTGGTCAATAAAAATGTGGTTCTACAGAAGGATGCTGAGAATACTATGAAGTGAACATGTGAGCAACGACAAAGTTTTAGAGAAAATGGAATATAAAAATCAGAAAGAGACAGTTGAAATTTCTACCGCACATAATGAGGAAAGAAGGTTTGGGAAATTTGACACTGACAAGACATACTGACGGACAGATGAAAACAGCGCATAACTTACCTAACGATCTTGTGCAAATGGATGGCAGAACAGGTTTTAGAAAATATTTTTATATCACATCCCAAGTAAGGCAATAAGTCCACTAAGGCGCAAGAAGTCTTGAAGGTACTAAGCATATGTAAAAGGAAGAGGAAGGAAAATAATTAACAAATAAAGAAAACATAGAAAGAGAGATATATACAAAAATGAAAAAAAAAAAGAGAAAGTATATTAAAAAAAATTAGAATAATAAAGATAACTGTATCATTGTCGGTGTTCAATCGCAAATAAAAGCCAGAAATTTCAATTCTGATTTTCAAACTAAGGACCTACTTGACGCAATACAATCTTCCTACCCCCACTCTTCTTCAGTTGGTCTAGCATCGTACTAAGGTAATATTTACTCGTAACTATTAAGATAAAGAATAGATAAAGAAAGGGAAGAAGATGAATAAAGCCAAACTTAAAACATGTCGAAACGAATAAATAAAAGAAAAAAAAAAACAATACACAAGGAATCATTGAACGCTTATTCTTCGTAGAAACACGCACGCCCCGTTGATTGTGGTCAGGCTACGACCAACAGCGCTTAGCACGCAGAACAAACCGCCGTTTTTACTAGCGTTCGGTCCAATATCCCCTTTACCACCCCGTCCTGTCCCTGGGGCACGGCAGGTTGATATTGATTGTCTTTCAAACCCAGAACAGGACGTGCTTGCCAAACAGAAATGGCGTAAGCGTGTCTCTATTGTCACCGGGACGTCATGTCCGGTTGGCTTCGGCTTGGGTTGGCTCAGTGTCGGAAACAGAGAAGAGCATGATGGGAAATAGAGTATTAACAACAACAAATAAAAAAAGACAAGAAAAGAAATCTCACGGTTGCTGACATTATATTAACTGTTCCTCTAAGATTCAGACGCCTCTTGGATGGGAATCTAGGTTTATTTGACAAGAAGAGGAGGAGAGAAAGAACAAGCTGAAGAAAAATGCATGGTCAGGAGTGTTATTTACCTAGCTCGCTGTCTATTTAGTTACGCGAACGTTTATTTATTTATTTATTTATTGAGGTTGGAAGTCCTCTTCTGGAACGTTGAACTTGATCGGCCTGCGCAAATACGACTTGGATGATTGGAGAGACAATGGCTATATCTGTGGACTGTTATCGTTTTTATAACTATTAATCAGTTTGATTGAGAGCAACTCATTCGTGAGAATTGATAAAGGTTTCTTGTTTTTTTTTAGGCCTGCTCTCTATTTATTTATTTACTTGCTCGAGTTTTCTTTGTGTAAATCGGCAGTGTGTCCATTGACCTGTGCTTGCCACAAAGGTTTTATGAAAGTAGACAAAAAGATGACCAACCTTTCCCTTCGGACAGCGAAAGTGGGACAGAAAAGATATCAACTCTCTACTCCCGGCTATCTCGTGTTTATTTTTGGTCGAGCAATAAGAAGGGGATGAGATGCGCCATTTTGAAAAAAGCCGACCTCCAAACTACTGTATTTGATGGCAATAGAGTTCTTCTTTTTGTTCCTGAAAAAAACGACTGTAAAAATATTCTAAATCGTGATATTATTGTATGAAGTAAAATATAAGAAGTTTAAGGATTAAGCAAAGAAATAAAAAAGAAAGATGGAATTATTTTGTAAATACACGGTGCACCACAAAAACAGGTAATTTTAGATTTACTATTATTAATTTGAAAGACTGAAGCCATATTTGTTTTTTAAGCGTTTCACCCCAAGAAAGGCGGGAAGCTACTAGCATACAAGGGGTTACAAAGAATTGGAGCAAGAGCAAATAGTCATGATAGAGGAAAGGATGAAGAGAAGGATAGGGGATAGATTAAGGCATCTGGAGACGTCGATTGACATTACATTTGAATAGTTGGAGATTATAGCTATCAGGGAAACAAGAAAAAGGGAGGGAGTTCCACAGGCGAGATGTGCGAGACATGAAGCTATTGGAGTAGAAGAGACGGCTACATTTAACAGTTTCTACAATAAAAGAGTGAGAGCGAGATGCCAGTCTAGTTGAATGCTTAAATTATGGAAGTCTGGCAACCAGCGAAAGCAGTTCATGCTGTTTTTTTAGCGGTTTGGTGACAAGGAGGCATTTAAAGCAAACATGCTTTGTGGTTGAATGCTCAATATTGAAAGCAGAGATTGAGCGTTAATAGATTTAATATTTTTTTTTCATTTAACTCAGGCTTACTTCGAAGTTTCGTGGCTATATAGATGTAACTACTCGTCAGAAAAGAATCTGTTGATAATTCTCGATTATTATTAGTAAAACTGTTAGTATATTTCTTATACGAAGAGTTTTTTTATTTCCATGTCGACAATATAGTTAAATTCTCCGATCTTAGTATAAAGGAAATTTACATTAACCAGAAAGAGGATTACACAGAACAGTCTCTTTTTTTTTAAATTTTTGTAATGTAACTATAACAACAAAACATTTTGATTTCATTTTTGCCTTGAAAAAGTCGGAAGACGAAACGCGTCGGTAAAAACTAAAGTTTTTTCCCATTTGTCATCTCATACTATATATATATATATATAAAGAAATATAGTCTTAAGGTGTGCTATATTTATGGGATAAAGTGCTCAATATCAGAGATAGAGCGTGTGTAAATATAAAAGTGAAAATAGAAGTCAACACTTAGAGGCGACAGTCTGTTTCATGCTATATGCAATCGTCAGGCCACATATGCTGTTATTTTTCTCGGCTATTTATATATATACGGGTTAGTGGTGCATTGTGGGTATTCTATTATGGCGGTTATTTTTTACCGGAAGTCGCTTTGTTTATTTATTTGGGTCAAATTATACAAAGAGAAATAAATTGACCTAAATTCAAACCAATCCCAAATTAAAAACTGTTCCCGCCAAAAAAATAATAGTTAGAATGAACTACAACAACCAACCCCAAAATTGAACAAATAGCTTTAATCAAATTCTCAAACCAAAACAAAACTGTTAAATACGTGATATAAACAAATTTTTACTACGTTAATAAATAAATAAATAAAATAAGAAACAAAAAATAAAAACGAGCAATATAATTTGACCCAAATAAACAAAGCGACTTCCGGTAAAAAATAACCGCCATAATAGAATACCCACAATGCACCACTAACCCGTATATATATAAATAGCCGAGAAAAATAACAGCATATGTGGCCTGGCGATTGCATATAGCATGAAACAGACTGTCGCCTCTAAGTGTTGACTTCTATGTTCACTTTTATATATATATATATATATATATATATATATATATATAATATTAGTGGTAAATATACACATACATATGCAAAATATATAAATATATATACATACATGCATACACATACATATATATTTTTTGAATAAAAAAAATTCGAGAGGATAGAATCCAGGTAGAACTCAATGTCCAGGACAAAGTAAGGATATGATAAAAAGGCTTAAACACTAATATTCCATGGTCATAATTTATTCCATTGGAATCGTAAATACGATCCTACAAATTCAAAATGAAAACAGACAAAAACAACTCCGGAAATAAAAACAGAATTTAGAGAGAGTGTAAGTATGAGAGTGTGGGACGAATGTTAGAGCTAAAGAGAGGGGTAACAGACGAGAGAAGGTGGAAGATTAAAACTAAACAGAGAGAAGAGGTGAGTCAAAGACGGTTTAAGTGAGAGAAATATGAATGTTGTCGGATGTCTGATACACGGTGGAATAATGGATAGCGGCTTGGATTGAGGAATCGGAGAGCCGAGTTCGAATTCCAGTCGAATCCATTACATTCACTTGGGAAAGGTGTGAATCCTCTTCTTCTCCCTCCAGCTATGGGTAAATAGCAGGACAGACTGGATGGCAACTGGTCTAGGAGAAGGACAACTCTGAATTCAAAACCTGTGTAGGGTCGTTTGGAGACCTTGTGGCACTTAGTGCACCAGGTCTCTGAATTCGACCCTTCAAAAAGTGTGAATAGTCCTGCACGAAACCTTCACCACTATAATCAAATCTCATGTGCTCTTGTCGGGCTGTCGGTTTCCTGGGAACTGATCTGCTTGACCCTCATACGTCGAATTTGACGGGAAAGTCGACTATATATATATATATATATATATATATATATATATATATATATATATATACATATCAACGTTCAAAATTCATCAACACAAATATAATAAACAAATAAACAGTAGAGAGTTGAAAACATTCAGTTCCTACCATATTTCTCCATATTTGGTATGTTGATATTTTGGTGCAGTGACAAAAGAAGCCATGACTGGTTTATACTCTTCCTGATTCCATTTTGTTCGCCTTCGTCAAGTGATTTGACATTAAGTCACCAGGTCCAATGTTGGAGTTTATTCGGTTTTTCTTTATTGTTGGGGGAACATTGAAATTTCTTTGTGCGTTTTATTCTTAACCGCTAAAGAATAATTTTGTTGAAGATATCACCTCTAGGACGACTGTCGACCAAAACTAAAGACCTCGTCCTGTACATGAGTCACAGCTATCGCTTCCCCCACCCCTCAGGATATCACCCCGATATTTCTAACCCACGGGGAGATTTATTTATGCATTTATTATTATTATTATTATTTCCTTTGATTTCTGGTGTGTACACATTTTTCCGGGTCCCGCCCAGAGACCTAAGATCAGAAATGGCATCATGACATTTTCCACTGACCAATTAAAACACACACACACACACACACACACACACACACACACACACACACACACACACACACACACACACAAATATTTTACATAGATAAAGCCGTTCGTAAGGTGTGGGCTGTAATCGTGAAAACAATTTTTTTTATTTCTTTGAGGCATGAGCTTCCAGGAATCCATTCAATTAGTCTATTGGAATCTTTTCCAACCAATTCGAGGGCTCCAACTACTATAGGGATTGTTGATGTTCCCATGTGCCATATTTTTGAGATTTTTGAGCTTTTGATAGACTATTATTATTATTATTATTCCTATCATTGTTAGCATTATTATTATGAATATATAATTAATTGTTTAGTTGTACAGTGTAACCTGGATATAAGAGACCCGGATATAAGAGAAACCCGTATATAAGAGAGATTTTCTCTGGTTCCAAATTAGAGCCTGTGTTAATGTATATAAAATAGACCAAACACCGATATAAGAGAAACCCGGATATAAGAGACTTCTTCTCCGGTCCCGACAACTCTCTTATATCCGGGTTACACTGTATATAATGTGGGGCAGCCACCGTTCTCGAGAGACCAAAATTATGCCATTACTGATGGTGATGGCGCAGCATATGTTATGGGAGTACAGGCCCACATGGGAGTGACAGTCTCGAAGGACTTACCAGAACGAAGTTGAATCTAACATAGGACTGTTTTAGGGGCTTCGGTTTAAGGTTTGTCCCCAGGGTTTATACACGAAGCCTTTCCCATAATTGCAAAGCAGCAAAGGACTAAAATCAGTTTTGCTTCTGTTAGATGAACCACCCTCCCGGGCTGACGAGTTCCATCTACCCGAAGGGTATATATGCAAATGCAAGATATAGTCGCAGTTTTTTCATTATTATTATTATTAGTAGTAGTAGTAATATTCATTTTTTTCCCCAATATCCTGATTTTTTCAATCTTGAATTTTAGTCCCTCCTTATCCTTTGACCTGTGGGTTACCACAAGTGTGTGATAGAATCTTTTGAACCAGATTTTGTTGCTGTATTTTTTCATCTCTTCCTTGAACAGACCACGTGTATCTTTTATCACTTGTTTTATTGTTGAAGTCTTCATACCCAACATTCTCTTAATATTTATTTCTAAATTATTATTATTATTATTATTATTTGCTTTGATTTCTGTTGTACACACATTTCCTTCTGGGTCCCAACCAGAGACCTAAGGTCAGAAATGGCTTCATGAGATTTTCCACTAATCATGTTTGTAAAATAAAACACACACACACACACACACACATACAGAGAGAGAGAGAGAGAGAGAGAGAGAGAGAGAATGAGAGAGAGAAAGAGAGAGAGAGAAAAAGAGAGAGACCAGGGACATTTTACATAGATAAAGCTCTTCGTAATGTGTGAACTGTATGTGAATACATTTTTTTGTATTACTTTAAGGTATGGGCTATCCAAGGACTCTTACTACAACTGGAATTACTGATGCCCTCATGTGCCGCAGTTTTCAGATATCTACTTCAAGATCCTTGTATTTTGATAGTTTTTTGAAGATCTTCAAAGATAAATTACAATCTGCAGGGACTGCCATGCCAATAAGAAAGAACATTTTGTTCTTGTGATCTTTTATTACGATGTCTTTTAATATCTATTTTTATATTATCATTATTATTGGGTCTGGGTTAGACGATAAACTACATCCGGCAGCAAGACCTCTGATCAAGAGCGTTTGGGGAGCGTGGAACCACCTCTTAATTGTTGTTGTTCCCAGGTTCACCCTAACTCGGTAGCACCTGTTAGAGTCCCAGCTATGGGCAAATAGTCCTGTTGGTACTAGGTATGACGATAAACTACATTCGGCATCGGGTAGATGGAGTTCAACAGTCTGGGAAGGCAGTTCACCTACAGGAAGGAAAACCCTTATTTCAAACCTCCGCAGCCTATATCCAGCCATAGAAAAGGTTTCAGGAGTAAATCTCGAGGAAAAATCCGGAGACGAATTCCCTAATGCAGTTCGCCGTTGTACCTAATCCGTTTTGGCATATTTCTGCCAAGGCACCGGTCCCAATCTATAGCGACCTTGTCATTCCTTTGGCCTCACCGGTGACGTGAAGAGTGGAGACGTGCTAAAATGGGACTTTCCTCCATATCATATCGCCTAGGCTTACATTCGACCACACCACACTGCACCAAAATACCCTACACTACGCCTGGAGAGGACACTACAGCTTCGCCTGGAAAGAAAGAGCCGTACCTCAGGACATGAAAGATGCCAAGATTGTCACCCTGTACATGAACAAGTGTGAGCGAAGCATCTGCAACAACTACAGAGGCATCTCGCTACTCAGTCTTGTGGGCAAAGTCTTCGCTCGGGACTTCTTGGTCCGCCTGCAGAAACTCGCCGAACGTGTCTACCCAGAGTCGCAGTGAGGTTTCCGAGCTGAAAGATCAACGATAGACATGGTTTTTTCCCTCCGCCAGCTCCAGAAGTGTAGATAATGGCAGATGTCCCTGTACATCGGTTTTTTTCACCAGGGTGTTCGATCTCATCATCAGAGAAGACCTCTTCAGAATCCTGTCCAAGATTGGCTGCTACCTTGAGTCATTCCACAGTGACATGCGGGGGACTGTGCAGTTCAATGGCAGCACCTCTGAGCCCTTCAACATCTTCAGGGGGAGTCAAACAGGGATGCGTTCTCGCTCCCACCCCCTTCGGGATGTTCTTCGCGTTGCGTCTGAAGCATGCATTCGATACATCTAGAGAAGGGATTTACCTGCATACGAGATCCGATGGCGGGTTGTTCAATCTCGCCCGCCTTAGAGCCACGACCAAAGTACGCGGAGCACTTGTCAGAGACATGCTTTTGTTGACAATGCGGCGGTAACGACTCCCACCCAGTGTGAACTTCAGTCATTGATTAACCGTTTCTCCCAACCCTGCAGAAACTTCGGGCTGACCATCAGCCTGAAAAAGACAAACGTACTGGGACATGGTACCGAAACACGACCAGCCATCACCATTGATGACTATGAGCTCAGTTCACGTACCTTGGCTCCACCATCACTGACAACCCCTCCTTAGACGCAGAGATTGACAAGAAAATCGGGAAGGCAGCCACAACATCTGCGCACCTAACGTGTGTGGACCAATGCCAATCCATCGATGAAGGCTTGGACCACGTACGCAAGGCAAGAAGGCGTCTGAATACCTTTCACATGAGAAGCATCCGTCGCATCCTTGGAATAGCGTGGCAAGATATGGTGCTCAACACCGAGGTCCTGTCTCGAGCAGGTTTTCCAAGCATGTTCATACTGCTCAGACAGCGGAGACTCCGCTAGTTGGGCTACGTCCATCGCATGCCAGACGGTCACATCCCCAAAGACCTCTTGTATCGAAAGCTGGCCGCTGGAAGGAGACCCGCCGGGCGGCGATGTAGTGAGACGCGACATGAAAGCAGTGGACATAAACACAGATTCCTGGGAGAACCTGGCAGTCATACGATGAGAATGGAGAGGAATCCTTATCAAACACCTCAAATCAGGGGATGAGAAGCTGAGACAAGTCGCTACGGAAAGGCGGGCCTGCAGAAAGCAAAGTGACAGCTCCAAAAGACCAGAGACAGAACACACATGCGACTCCTGCAACAGAGATTGTGATTCCCGCATCGGCCTCTACAGTCACAGAGGTCAATGTTCCAACCAAGCAGACAACTAGGATACTATCCATGGTCGACCTTGAGCCACGTAGGCCTACATCATACATCTATTATTGGCAGATTTAAACTTAACATATTACACGCAAGACGTTGTCTTAACCGCAGATTCACTAAGAAAGTGAGAGTATTATTAGTTTGTGAAAGTCAGAAGAAAAGAATAATCTTAGGTGAGAGTTACGTATCGGACGGAAATTTAATTATCTGGAGAGTACAGTGATGGACAATGCAAGCCGGAATACAGAAATCCGAAGGCTGTTAGGAATAGCGAGGGATCACTTTTCAAATATAAAGAATAGCTTTTAGCGATCAAAAAATTCCCCAAAGATTTTGCGTGGTAATCCGAAAAAAAGTAATGAATAATGTCGTCTATCATAAAGTGAATTCGGAGAAGTTTTGCCGTCAGTTGGAAGAATTGCACAAAAATTACAGAAAAACGCACATCATTGGTTTATCGTAAAGGTGTGTTGCTATGACACAATAACTAATTCAGGAAAAGTACTAAAAATGGAGATTTTGCTGCACCCGCCTTACTCCCCTGACATTGATCCATCTGACCGTCATCTTTTCAGATCATTAAAATATTTATTAGAGGGAAAAAGGTTAGAATGAATATTGAGTATTTCTTTACATCAAAACTTGTAGGAGTTTATGCCCGAGGTCAACAAATTGTCAAAGAGATAGGAGTAGTATCTGCATTATTTGCACTTGCACTATTGTCTTCATCTTTGTTGTTATTATCACAATGTTTTGGCTGTTTCTTCACCAACGGAAAAAGGATAATCGATCCCCAAGTCACCGCTACACCTGAAAAACGTTATGTTTGGGATATGAAGGGCGTTGCCAATCATGAAATCCTAAACAAAAATTGAAACAGTCAATGCGGAGAAGTATCATTGCCAAATGGAAATATTGCCTCAAAATCTGCCGAAAAAGCCCCCATCGTTGATTTATCGTAAAAATGTATTGCTCTTATATCATAATGCAAGGCCACATATTGCCCAAATCACTCAGGAAAAGACTATGCTACTAAAATGAAAGTTTTCTCACATCCTCCTTACTCTCCTAACATTGCTCCATCTGACAGTCATCATTTCAAATTATTGCATTATTTATTAGTCAATGTTAATAAAATAAGTCAAAAACGAATATTGAGTGCGTGCTTGCATCGAAAAATGAAGAATTTTTTCGACTGGGGGATAAAAACATTGACAAATATACGATTATGTTTTCGATATTAAGAGGAGATATAGTTTTGCTTGTCAATTAAGACCAAAGAATCATTTCTTCCTCATCTATCGATAAATGCAACAGGGCTTTATTTCCATGTTAATTTTTTTTTTTTTTAAGTATTACGCCCCGAGCATGGCGTGAAGCCACTAGGATGCAGGGGGTTGCAGAAGATTTGCAGCAAGAGCAGATAGGAGTGATAGAAGAAAGGATGAGGAGAGGGATAGTGGGTAGATCAAGGTAACTGGAGATGTCGATTGACATTACATTTGAATAGTTGGAGATTATAGCTCTCAGGGAAACAGTAATTGGGAAGGGTGTTCCACAGGCGAGAGGTGCGAGGTATGAAGCTATTGGAGTAGAAGAGACGGCTATATTTAAAAGTATACTTAGAAGAGTAAAAGACGTTGTGGAGCATCATTGAGAGAGAAATAGAGAGTGAGAGAGAGAGAGGGAGAGAGAGGAGAGAGAGAGAGAGGGAGAGAGAGAGAGATGGGAGAGAGTGGTAAAAATTAATCTTACCATTAGTAGAATGAGACGAAAGAAACTTGTTCTGAAATGGAACAAAAGGACAATGGATGAACTGCTATTCACATTTGATATATCATCAAATAATTCAGTTGTAATATTTCTTGCTAAAACTGGAAATGGCTGTTGATTTACTTATGCCATAAAAGTCTTATTTAATTTTATAATATTTCTCTCTTTTATTTGCCTTTCTCTTTCTGTTTATTTTATCTCTTCTTTTCGGGTTCCTCTTTTTCTTTTTAATTTCTTCTGTTTTCTTTTTTTTCCACTTTCTTCTTCCTGTACAACCCTTTTCTTCTTCTTCTTCTTCTTCTTCTTCTTCTTCTTCTTCTTCTTCTTCTATCCTTTCACCTTCCTGTTTCTTCTTCTTCTTCTTCTATCCTTTCACCTTCCTGTTTCTTCTTCTTCTTCTTCTTCTTCTATCCTTTCACCTTCCTCTTTCTTCTTCTTCTTCTTCTTCTTCTTCTATCCTTTCACCTTCCTCTTTCTTCTTCTTCTTCTTCTTCTTCTATCCTTTCACCTTCTTCTTCTTCTTCTTCTTCTTCTTCTATCCTTTCACCTTCCTCTTTCTTCTTCTTGTCCGCTTCATTTTTTTTTTTCGTTTTTGTGTCTTCTTCGCAAGTCAAACATGAAAATATTACCGCATTCCTCCTCCTTTCCTACTTTGCTTGTTTTTCTTCTTTTCCATCTCCTCCTCTTCTTTTTGTCTTCTCATCCTTCCCCCCCCCTTTGTCCTTTGTCTAGTTCTTCTCATATAATATCCTTCCTCCTGCTCCTTTTTCTTTCTTTTTCTCTACTTTTTGTATTCTCATTTTTTTCTTCTTTTTTCCCCTCTCATTATTATTTCTTCGTTCTCGTCCTCGTCATCTACTTGTCGTTTTTCCTCTCTTCTTCTTTTTTGGACACTTATTCTTTCTCCTTCCCCCTTCCTACTCTTTGTTCTTTTCTTTCTTCTTTCTTCTTACTTTTTGTCCTTCTCCTTCTTCTTCCTCTTCACGTCCTTCTTTTTCTTCTTTTTTTCGATTTCACCATTTCCCTTTCACCTTCTTCTTCATATCCTCTTTCTTTCTCTTCCTCTTCTCTTTCTTGTCCTCCTTCTCTTTTTCTTTCTCTGCTCATATTTCCTCTTCCTCTCACTCTTGCTTATCCTCTTCCTTCTTTCTTCTTCGTTTAGGCTTATTCATATCTTTTTTTTATATCTTGCTTATCTTTTTCTCCCACACTTAAATTGTCATATTTTTTAAAAATCTTTTTTTCATTATCTTTCTCTTTCCTTTCTTCACTTCTACCTCTCTCTCTCACACTCTTTCTCTTTTTATATCCCTCTTATTTACTCGCCTAAAAATACTCTCTTCCTAACACTTTCTTTCGTCTTCATTTTAATCTTTTGTACTTTTTATTGGATTTTTCCGCCATTGTATCTTCATTTTTTTTTTTCCAGTCTTCGTTTCAAATCCATTTTTACTTTCATTCTATATACGTTTTGTTGTCCTCTTCTTCACCCCTCCTCCGCACTTTTCTTATCAGTGGCATCCCGGTGGGAAGCGATGTCTTGTTGATATTCCCGCGTTAGTCTCGTTGCAAATAACTAATTTAATGATAAAAGCCGATAAAAAGCGCTTTCACGTTTATTATCTTCTCAAAATGGCGCGCCTGCAATTGGGAAATGTTCCAGATTATTCCAAGTTCCAGCCTTCGAACTACCGGAATTCCGTCTGCTTTCTTTTGGACATTTTTTTCTTTTTATTTTAAACTAATCATTTCTTTCTTTTTGTTCACATCTCCCCTTATCTCGGCAATCACCAAATTATTCATCACAGTACTCTGGCTATTACAACGTTCAAATTGCACATATCACGAGCTATTGAATTAACCGTATAAAGAAAGAAGGCATTATTTTTTTAGTCATTTCACCCCAAGAAAGGTAATAAAACCTCTGAGACACAAGGGGTTACTGAATGTTAAAAAAATATAAGAAAAAGATTGTGGTAATAAAATAAACACATCCCAACTCCTCTCTCTTGCTTGTAACCATCCTCTATAATAAAATAAGCACATCCGATCTCCCCTCTCGCTTGTAACCATCCACTATAATAAAATAAGCACATCCCAACTCCTCTCTCGCTTGTAACCATCCACTATAATAAAATAAACACATCCCATCTCCCCTCTCGCTTGTAACCATCCACTACAATAAAATAAGCACATCCCATCTCCCTCTCGCTTGTAACCATCCACTATAATAAAAAATAAGCACATCCCATCTCCCCTCTCGCTTGTAACCATCCACTATAATAAAATAAGCACATCCCATCTCCCCTCTCGCTTGTAACCATCCACTACAATAAAATAAGCACATCCCATCTCCCCTCTCGCTTGTAACCATCCACTATAATAAAATAAGCACATCCCATCTCCCCTCTCGCTTGTAACCATCCACTATAATAAAATAAGCACATCCCAACTCCTCTCTCGCTTGTAACCATCCACTATAATAAAATAAACACATCCCAACTCCTCTCTCGATTGTAACCATCCACTATAATAAAATAAACACATCCCAACTCCTCTCTCGCTTGTAACCATCCACTATAATAAAATAAACACATCCCATCTCCCCTCTCGCTTGTAACCATCCACTACAATAAAATAAGCACATCCCATCTCCCCTCTCGCTTGTAACCATCCATCACAATAAAATAAACGTCTTTCAGCGCTAAAGCTGAATTAGTAGAATAAAGTTTCATAAGCTTCTACTTAGAGTTAATATATTACAATGAAAACATTATTAAGGAACAAGAACAATAAAAGAAGAAAAAATGAGAAGGCAGTAGATAACGATTGATATTGCATTTAAAATTTTAAATATCAAAGTTGACTGAAAATCGGGGAATTGGAAGCGAGTTCCACAGGCGAGAAGTGCGAGAGAGGAACCTGTTAGTATGGAATTTCATCGTTGCTAATAATGAGGGTCATTGTTTTTGGCAAGAACATTTCTTTTATTAGAATGAGATTTTATTCAATGTTCAAAAATGGAACATGGCTATCGAACGCACGCGCGCGTACACACACACACACACACAAATACACGCACAAATGTAAAGCCTGTCATGTTGTCTACTGTTCATTATCGAGCCGAATTCCGGGTCATCAACGAACATCACTCCCACGCTTTTTCGAATGTTTTCAGCAGCATTTTCTCGGCATCAATCTCAATGTGGATATAAATGAATTCCTTACAAACAGCAAAGTCACTGTATTAGTCAGTAACGGACTCTGGACATCGGAAAAGGAGGATGTCACAGAAGAAAGAGAGGATAATCTTTAAATGGACAGTCATTCCTTGTGGAATCGACTACCATCAATGGACAAGAGTACCTTCTGACAAGGAGCCATGGCAACGTCAAATAAGGAATTTGCCTCGAAGTTGTTATATTTTCAAGTCTCCATGGCGTTAGTCTCTGTTATGCATTAGACGATTCCACAAGGAATGAAGGTCCTTTTTTTTTTTTTTTTTTTGGGTAATCTTCTATTTTTCCTGCATAAAATCCTTGTGTTCATTTGTCCAAACAATAAACTTGCTTGGAAGATTTAAAAGAGAAAACCATTATTATTATTTTTTAGTACACAGACGTGTTTGAGTAGCCATACATGTTTATTAAAAAGTGAAAATCTAAATAATTCGGAAGGAATTTTTTTTACTAAGTCTCTCGCATGCACTGGCAAGTAGACATAGATTTTTATTCACTAAAAATAACTACCAATTATTTTCGGTTTATAAATAACACATTAATTGCTTTTGTGGGTATATATATATATATATATATATATATATATATATATATATATATCTGTGTGTGTGTTTTGTATATGGGTTGTAATCTAGGGAAGGTTACTGAATAGAATAATCGCACGAAGGTTGGTAATGAACGATAATACTTAGGACAAGAACAACATATATAAGATTCGCCAGCGGGGCGTAGATGAAGTAGTCAACGGCTAGAAGTGAGTCAAGTGAATTCCACAATGAATCTCCAATTGCAGGATATCTAACACGCGGTCAGATGTGGCACAAGGCCGAGACGAGACTTGGCTGATTCCCGAGACGAGATTCTACCGTTCAACATAGCTGGAGATGAATCTCCAACTGCAGGATATCTACCAACCTCCCCACACGGTCAGATGTGGCACGAGGCCGAATTTAATGTGGGGTATCCGAACCCATAGGCTCGGCCAAAAATTCCCCTTAGACCCCGTATAAAACGGGGGTCGGGTAGCTGTTTTCCGAGACGAGACTCTGCCTTTCGACATAACCTTGTCTGGAGATCCTCTCTGTTCGCAGGCAGCGAGTTTGAGTTTCAGACGAATCTCCAAATGTAGACCAACATACAGTATTTACTACTGTATTTATATGAATGAGGACATATGCAATATTGTGCGTAGGTATGCTACAGCAATAAGTATGTACGTATGTATCTATGTATTGTGTACTTCGGCAGCAAATGCTCTTTAAGGCAAGTACTATTGAAAACAATATGCATTTTGTATTGATTAATATTAATGATCGTTCTAATATATATATATATATATATATATATATATATATATATATATATATATATATATGATGGACTCTCCCGTCGATTTCGAGGAGGATCCGACAACCTCATTCAGTTTTTTTATGTTTTTAGAAGAAAAAATGAGATTTCCAATACCATTCTTTTAATAAGGTCTTTAGTTTGTAGGGCCAATCTGACGAAATAATCCCGTTTGTTTGTGGTGAGAAGGACATAAATATGTGTATTACTTAAAAAGTAATGCTCCATTTAATCATTATCTAAGAAAAAAATAATAAGGTTAATTTTTGTAATTTGGTATAATATTTATGCATTACACCCTAATCTTCGGTAATGATTTCATTGCTAATCATGCATTAGTCTTTAAGTAATACACATATTTATGTCTTTGTTATTTCCGTTCCTTATATTATGGCCGCTACTATATATATATATATATATATATATATATATATACCTGTTGAACAACATTTCTGCCTACAAAAACACGATTTTAAAAACCCATGCCAAATTCACTATAATTGAGAAAATAGAAAAGTTCAGAGCAGATAACATTAGAAAGATTTTAGAAGGCCGTGAAGATAAGTGGATTTGGCGCATAAAAACGCCTCATCCAGATGGACTTAATCACAAATTTAACAACATAGAATTAGTATATCACCCCACAAATCAGGACCTACCCACATTTCTCAGCTACACAAGACAGACATGCTTACGGAGGTGTTGAAGCCTCACACTTATACACACACCCATACAAATATACACACTTACACACAACTTACACACACACTTAACAGAGACACATCCCCTTTCAAGAAACCAATAAAACTGTCAAAATGACCAAGGGAATTCAGAGCAGCACGAATCCATCCAGTTCTTATCTCAAATAACAACTTAAAAGAGACTGACCAACACAAGGAGTGGACAAACTTCATGTTAAAAAAACAAAAAACAAAAAGACAAATGAAAACTACAGACAAAGTTCATTTTCTCCATCAAGTCATACATTTCTGTAGTTCACTGCTACTAACAAGCAGAATTTTTTTTCTCCTGACGATGGCCATGTTGAGCGAAACTAGTTGAGGAATCTAACCGAAATAATAAAAACGAAGGAATATTAATATACAACCCATTGTGTCTGAAGATTTTAATTTTTTAATATTTTTATTGTTCAAAAAAAAATATATATATATATATATATATATATATATATATATATATATATATGGTGGCCTGAAGATTGCATATAGCATGAAACAGACTGTCGCCTCTAAGTGTTGACTTCTATGTTCACTTTTATATTTACACACGCTCTATCTCTGATATCGAGCACTTTTATCCCATAAATATAGCACACCTTAAGACTATATTTCCTATATATATATATATATATATATATATATATATATATATATATATAAGCTTCATCACTGAGGTAGGTGTGCTCAATGTTGGTGAAAGGGCTTTTCTAGAGATAAACTGTGTCGATATAGAAATAAATACCCAATGGCGACTGTCACGGCCTAAGCGATCAACAGATCTTGCGTCGATTCTATATATAGGGTCGGGTGGCGGGTAGTATGAAAATGTTTCCCCGGTAGATCATATGTTCATTAGTTTCAAAAAGTCCAGCTCATTGATCAAAGCCGAGTGGATTAAAGATCTAACGATCACTGCCTTATCGAACTGCTTAATCCGGATTTTCCTCGTCTCATCCGCTTCCAGTCCACAGAACTCTTTTGCGTTGCCTTCTGCTGTTTCTTTACTGCTGATAAATCTTTTGTCGACTATTCAGATCGAACATCAGTGGCCCAGTGTGTATGTGCTCGTGAAAAAGACAGCCTCTTAAGCAGTGAACAGAGGCCAAGGAGGACCTGTTGATTGTCAAAGTGTCTTTATTCAAAAATTCTTTATTCGATAACTACCCTCGATTTGCCGTTCAGTCGATATGTTGGGGGAAGTGGATATCCCATGGCGTTTATCCTTTTGCACTCTGAAAGAAACCAGCCCCGAGGTTATTTCAACTCGCAAATATGAGAAACCTTTTAGAACACCGAGATGTCGACCTCAATTTACAACAAAATAGAATTTTTCTCCTCTGTAAAGCCGTTAGTCTTTGAAAACGTTGAAAAATAACCCCCCAAAAAAAAAAAAAAGTTTAATATATTACACTTGATTGAAACCGTCTGTTATCGATCGTTTGTTCGTAAGCTAACCTCAGTAGGCAGATTCAGATGAAGCAAATTCAGTGCCCCTTTCATACCACACTATTTTGACATTTTACCACAATGAGGTAAACATTAACCACAATATTTTTTTGCGTTTTACAGACATTTACTAAATGTACACAACTAAAACTATTTATGACAACGATATATATATATATATATATAGATATATATATAGATAGATAGATAGATAGATAGATAGATAGATAGATAGATAGATACACCTAGTGAGCCAGACAAACCTACCTAGGTTTCACCTAAACGGATCTTCAGGGAATGTATCTAGGTCTGCTCTACGGTTGTATTGAGCACTTTTGTTAGCTGTTACTCGTATCGGGGTTTTTTCTTTGGGCTTCAGACCTGCATCTGTGCGATTTTTTTGTCGGCAGAAGTTCATGTTTGTAGCTCTTTCTTTTTTTAAAACCTTTTTTTCCCTCGAGATTGATTTGATTATTAGCAAATCAAAAATTCGAGGGTTTTTCGAAACGAGTCTAGTTCTCTCTCTCTCTCTCTCTCTCTCTCTATATATATATATATATATATATATATATATAGGGGTAATGAAATGTCTGGTAATCTGTACGAATCATCCCAAGAAGAATGTAATCCAGAGACCTCAATGTATATATATCAAGGAAAAGCTTAACCCATCATTAAAAACACGGTTATAAATTAGAATTTATTTCAACGGGTAAGTTTTTAACATCTGTCTCATCAGTACGAAATTACAAATGAGTTTGTAATAAAACCATTTGTAATTTCTAACCGTGTTTTCGATGATGCGTTAAGTTTTTCCTTCGAGGTGTAGCATATTGCTCTCTATATTATACATTGATCTCTCTTTATGGATCCATCTTTTTAATATTTTATGTTAAGAAGAACTACATGGATTATTCTTTCCATTTACGGATTTGACATTATCTATCTATCTATCTATCTATCTATCTATCTATCTATCTATCTCCGGCCACGACCAAAAAGTTCAAAAGAAACTGTGAGCCCTTGTGGGGACGAATTATTCTCTCCTCTTCAATCTATCTCCCATAGGCTGAATGAAGCAAGCCTCTCTATGCTCTACAGATACTTCCTAGGAAGGTCCTCAGACGAACTATATTCCCTGGGTATTCCTTCTTGCAGTGAAGGTTTTCCTCGGCGAGGCAAAACCTTCACAGCAAGAACACGCCATGTCACTTATATAGTAGCGAAGCATCCACATATCCTTCGTATCCTATCGGTGAGAAGTAAGTTTCACTCGAGCAGCTTCTTGCCGTGAACCACTGCCCTGTGGAACCGGCTCCAAACAGGACGTTTCTCCGATCTTTAATCTGTTCAAGGCTGGGATAAACCCTTGTCTTCCACTCCTATACACACAAATGGCCTCCAAACGTAGCCCTTTTCCTCGAGTAGCTTCCGGGCATTGTAAAGAGTGAACCTATCTGTATATATATATATATATATATATATATATATATATATATACTATAATTATTTTAAAAAATATGATTCCTTCGCTACATAAGAGTTCTCATGTTTCAAAAACAAGAGCTGAAAACCTCAATATAATTATTAAAATTAAATTGAATTAAAGTATCAAGCCCTGTTTCATACTCAAGCGAAACTTTCGCTTGAGGATGAAACAGGGCTTAAAATTTAAGCTCTACTTCTGTATGGAGCACTGTTTTTAAAATAAAAAACAAAAATACTAAAGAACACCGGATTATTTACCTAACGTGTTCTTTCCTATTTTTCTACATCTCTGCACACACACACACACACATATATATATATATATATATATATATATATATATATATATATATATATATATAAACACATTTCTCACCCGCACAAGACACATATACTTGCTGAGGTGTTGAGGTCTCACATTTATACACACACCAATACTAATATATACACTTACACACATCATACACACTCCCAAAGAACAAATGATAACATATACTTAACACACATACATCCCATTCCCAGGAACCAATGAAGCTGTCAAAATGACCAAAGGAATTTTGAGTCGCATGAATCTCCACAACCTTTATCTTAAAAAAAAACTTAAAAGAGGCCGTTTGACCAACACAAGGACTGGCCAAAATTAACGACAAAAACAAATGAAAACTACAGATAAAGTTTATTTTGTTCAGAAAGTCATTCATTTCTGTAGTTCACTGTTACTAACAAGCAGGAATTTTTTAACTCCTGGTGATTGCCATGCTGGCTGAAACTAGTTGAAGAATGTAATTGAAATAATAAAACAAAAAATGTTAATATACAACGGAGCGTGTCTGAAAATTTAAATTTTTAAAATTTTTCATCTTTTATTGTTTAATATATATATATATATATATATATATATATATATATATATATATATATTTCAAACATTGTTCCATAAGCTCAATTTTGTTCTAAAATGCCACACTTATGAAAAGAGAAAGTAATTTACTCAGAAGGAAAATTCTTGAGAATGCCGCTATCGAATCTTATCAAAATATAAATCTACGCCCCTGTTTCTTTGTAATCTCGCCTTTCTTGAAAGAATGACTTGTTTCCGAAGTCAACTTAAACAACCACTAAAAAGTCCATCACCTCTTGTTTATGAAACTTTACACCACACACGCCCATCCCAAACCATAATAATCTACTCACAATTTAATCAATAATTTTTCAAGCAAAATACATATATTCCTCGAATATTACTCGTTTACTTTTGCCATACCAGATTTTGAATTATGGCACTTTGTGTCCTCCATATATTTTAACTGAACTTTCAACCACATATTCATGAACGTTCTCAAACATTGAGAACGTTCATGAATTCCTGCTTGTTAGTAGCACTGAACTACAGAAATGAATGACTTTCTGAACAAAATGACAGCTTCATTGATTGCTGGGAAGGGGATGTATGTGTGTTAAGTATATGTTATCATTTGTTCTTTGGGAGTGTGTATGATGTGTGTAAGTGTATATATTAGTATGGGTGTGTGTATAGGTGTGAGACCTCAATACCTCCGCAAGTATGTCTGTCTTGTGCGAGTGAGATGTGCTCCCGCTGACCTTGTACGTTAGGAATCAAAACTTATTTAGATCAAAACAAAATTCTTTAAATGGTAAGAATTTCAATTCTCTGGAAGCCTGTAAAACCTCTTAGATCAGTTCATCACCCAGAAAGATGCCATGTCCTGTGAGAATGGAATCTCGGAACTGCTTCAAAGACGGCGAAAGGTCGTTGAACACAAAGCATATATGTAATTGAGTAAATCTATATAGAAATATTTAAATATTGCTTTTGATTGATTGGTTCATTTTTTTAAGGCTTATTAACTCTTTGAGAAAAGTGCTGATAAATCACCCATTCCTGAAATAAGAAGACTAAGAATGCAGCCACAATCAACGCAACTGTAACAATACTTCGGAGACATTATTATGTATTATTGAGCAATTGATTCGTTTTCTACGGCTTATCAACCCTTTGCAGGTTATTTAAAGCCAGAAAATATTTTTAAAATATAAGAATTTCTTTTTTTTTTTTAGATAATAATGTCTTAATGACATAGCAGGGAAGGAGAGTTGGATTAATACCTAATCAGAATTTGATAAACAAACAAGACATTATAATGTGGATATAAAAGTGGGGGATCAATTCTATACTACAATAAGTACATAAACTGATCCCTCACTTTGTGGCCTCGGTAGTTTCTATACATTTAGATTCCAGACAATGTAAGTGAATCTATAAGATGCTTGTGTAGGTAGTCAGTATTTCATTCATTAACTCATTCATTTTCTACGTCTTATCAACCCTTTGTAGATTATTTAAAGCCAGAAAAAAGATTGTAAGAAGTTATCTTTTTGTGATAACTATGGTTTTAGTGATACAAGTCTAACTAATTAACCCATAGCTAGGTGGAGAAGTGGTGTATTCATGCATTTCCCAGTGGTATTTGCACATGTAATATAACGAATTTAATTGGAATTTGGCATTCGGCTCTCCGATTAACAATTCCGAGCCATTATCCTTTACACCACCCGCACATCCAAGCTTAGAGCACCTGATGTTCACAAGCGATCACCCATCTAGGTACTGACAAGTATTAACGTTTCTTAACTTTGACGATCTTTCGGCATCCATTGTTTCAACATGATATGGCCGTAAGTAGTATTCGATTAGGTAAAACAATTTTTAATCCATACTTTTCCAGGGCATTGGCGTTCATGAGTATTCACATGTTCCTTTTCTTTATTTTGTCTGAATTGCTGTGAATTCTTAGGAAAGATGCCAGATTTCTGAAGGATGGAATAAGGAAGTTATCTAAAAGGCATCGAAATATGGAGAAAAAAAATTGTAGAATATATCTGTCTAAATATTTCCCTGAAAATCATTCACTTCAGAACTTGTTATCAAACTTTCTTCCCCACTCTATGGGTTGAATAGCAACCATTCAATAACAGAAAGAAATCTATTGCGGGAAAATCTCCTACCTTATCAGTCATGAATCGAAAAAGACATAACCGCCCATGCGTGTATCACCTTTGGCACTTAACTGACTGATCGGCTTAAAAGTTTCCATTACGGGTTATGGGTTGTGATTATCCGGGTAACATTATAAATTGGTTGCTATCATGAGTCGTCCTCAATCTACAGATCTGATTTCAGCTTTTTTGCCATAAACACTTCAGCTTGTTCATCAAATTAAGCACCACTGCGTTGCTGGTGCTGATAAAATCTGAAGGGGAACGCCTGTTAAAGTCGCCCTAGTTTCTGACAATATAGTTGAAGGATACTTAAAATTTATGACGGAAGTCACACGAGAATCTTTCCGTTAATTTGGTAAAGGAGGCCTGCTGGGGTACCCGTTCCGCTGATATGATAGATTTCATGAAAAAGACACTTGAAGGAATGGTTCTCAAATTACCTATCCCTCTTCAAATCACACGAGGTAAATTAGTAGGTCATATCTATCTCTTATGGGCTAATGTGTTGGCTGTATAGTATAGCTGGCCACTTATATTCGAGGATACCCGTCTACCAGGGCAGCTAGCCAATCCCTCAGGCACATTTGTGTTTATTCAACACCCACAGAGCCCACCTGTGGTTTATACTGCATATATGCTGAGCAGACCATAGTTACAGTTTCTGGGAAAGAGCGTGTTATCTAGCGTGATCAACAATTTGAACAAGGCCAACGTTCTCAAGATCTCGGCCACGATGACTTGTGATTTCGTGCTAACACAGCTATCGACGGCACCCAATTTCACTCACAAGGCTTGTGTCACTTACAAGGCTTGTGGTATGGTTTTTCAGGCACTTTCCAAAGGTGCCGCACGCTGGGATCGATCCCTTCAGTCTCCTTCCTACCCGGGTTTCATGGTTAGAATGCGAAAGTTCTAAAAAAAAAAAAAAAAAAAAAAACTTCAAAAAGACATTTGACCAATACAAGGACTGACAAAAATTAACGATAAAAACCAAATGAAAACTACAGGCAAAGTTCACCTTCTATAGAGACAGTCATTAACCCCTGTAGTTCACTGGTACTAACAAGCAGGAATTGTTTTCTCCTGATGATGGCCATACTGGCCGAAACTAGTCGAGGAACCTAATTTATAAATAAAATAATAATACAATACAGTATGTCCGAAATTTTCTTTTTTTAAACATTTTTCATTGTTCAACACACACACACACACACACACACACACACACACACACACACACACACACACACACACATATAATTTGGGCGTCCATTTCAAATACGAAGTGTTTACTAGAATAAAGTTTGATTAATAAAAATAGATCCATTGATTCTTTCGAAATTGCTTTGTTTACGTTTCGGATACAAAACTGAGAAGATATGGGCTTCCGAGAAAAATGATCTGAGTTAAAAAAATGTACTTTCCTTCAAAAGGGAAAATACGTTCTTTGTGACCGAGCGGTAGAGCACACTGGATCAGATAGTGGTTTCCACACAAAGGGGGACTCAGACTCGATCCCTGTCGGAGAGCACATTTTCTTTAATAATATTTCATGTGTGCGCAGTTTAATAAATGAAGATAGGGCGTCTATTTCAAATACGAAGTGTCCATTATAACAATGTTTGAAGTAAAAAAAAATGTTTCAGTGGCTATTTTAATCTGTCATAAGTTCTGCTATAATCTATTTTTTTTTACAGAGTACACGTGTTTGAGCTGACATCCATGTTATTTTTATACAGTTAAATTCATGTCAACCGGCCTAGGATAAGACCTTACTTAAAAAATTGCCCTCGATAAGAATTGAACGTGTATTTCTTTTTATATTGGAGAAACAACTCCTTTAGCCAAAGTGTGCCTAGCAATTAGGTTACTTTATTATACTGGATATATATATATATATATATATATATATATATATATATATATATAATGTGTGTGTGTGTGTGTATTTGGGAAGCAACCCCTCTTTCATACAATACTCGTAGAAAATACAACTATAATAGACTCATCAACATGGAAAAAAGTCTAAAAATAATAGAATCCCCCCTCCCCCCAAAAAGCCAACATCAGCTGCGAACACGGTCACAATGTGTTGACTGTGTTTTGAAAATGATAATAAGGCAAAAAATATTTCCATAACTCTAGATATATACATAAAATATACACGTAGAACTAAAAATAAAAATGAAAAAAAGCATTTTTGATAATGGCTAACAGAATAGCCGAAAGCGCTCAGACATAAAGACCATTCATCAATTTTTACACTTTTATATGTAGAAAAGAAGAAACAATAAAAAAATTAAATAAAAAACCTATATATATATATATATATATATATATATATATATATATATATATATATATATATTAGAGCAAAAATACAGGTAGGCAGTGACCGGCCACGACTGCTACTTTAATGCGCTTGCTCTGATATTTCTTATGGCATCGAGCCCTTTTTGCCAGTAAGCAGCTTTTTAGAGCTGCTCATCCTTTTCTAATATTGTATTTATCTCTCTCTCTCTCTATATATATATATATAATGAAATGGATTATGTCCGATAATTATTTAATTTATTTTCTGTTTATACGCTATGTTCATAGTTGAAATTTATTCATGTAAATACTCTGTTCTTTAATTAAACAGTATTAATTACATTTACCGGCGTGACTGCTGGAAACTTCCCTCTACAAAAGGCAGTACCTGCTCCTATTTATAGCTGGGAGAGTCCATGCGTGCGTAGGTAAATTACCATAACACCCCCATCCTAAATATTAACTCCGCAGTAGTCTCAATACCTTTTTTCTTTTGGGTTAACGACGATTTTTCTTTTCCTCTTTAAACGGCATTGCTCCGGAGCCGCTTGAGGCATTGGCATCTCAAAAGTATGGTAAATGACATCCATAACTTCTTTTTCTTCAGGAGGACTGCTGTCAGCATCGTGCAACAGGCGTTTCCTGATTTGGTTCAAATGTCTCTTGTGAGTAAACTGGGGCCCTTTAAATATGTAGATAATATTTCCTACTCTTTTCTCAATTGTACCATTTTCACAGAAAGATTTATTATCACGAAACACCCGGAAAAACTTTTCTCTCCGGGTTGGTAGTGTTTTTTCTGGTACAGTGTTTGTTCGTCCTGGTTTTGTTTGTTTGGGGAGTAGTTTGTCGAACATAGACCTGATTTTACGCGCAAACATTACTTCGGCTGCGGGTAATGATGATGGTGTGTTGTCGTTGGGCGTAATTCTATACAATTGATTGTAACTTCTGTAGTGGGTTTTCTACATCTAAGGACTTTCGAAAAACTATCTATTGCTATGAGATAATAGAATATGTCTAGCCGGCCTGTAAAGTCCATATGTATTCGGCGCCATGGTCGGTCCGTTTTAGGCCAAGGACTATATTTGATTGGGGGTGCCTTAGCTGCCAAGGCACAGCCTTTACAGGATTTTACGATGTTTCTGATATCCTTGTCCATGTTCGGCCAGTACACATAAATGCGCATAAGGCTTTTCATCCTTGTAATCCCTGGGTGGCCGGCATGGAAATCTTTCAGAATTCTTCTTTGTAGCGTTGTGGGAATGACGACACGCTCACTATATGTTATGGGGCCCTCCCCTTTTTTCATATAAGTGGACTCGACCAAAGTGTTACTTGGACTGCTGCCGTTAAATACCCACAGTCAGTCAGAATATACGAACGGAGATAGAGATTGAGTTGGAGTAATAGTGTGAGGTAACCTCTTGTAGAAGTCAGTTGCAAGCACGTAGACTCTAAGGAAGCCCTACTTCGAGACTGTACAGATCTATCTAACCGCGTTCCTGGATTTACTAACAGTATTACCCTTTGTATTATTGTGTAAATACATTTTATTTCTTATATTTAATTCTTGCGTTTGTCTTTCATTGGAGACCGACTTTCATCTCTGAATCCACAACACTATATATATATATATATATATATATATATATATATATATATATATAGCAGCGCTTCGTCGCATAGGGGGAAAATATCTGAAGTCTGTTTGTCCTTTTCAAGAATTTTGGTTTTGGTTTGCCTGATAAACTTATCGTTTAGAGCTTCTCGTTTGATTTGGTCGAGAGTTACAGGGAGTTCCTTTACTGTGTTGCATAATGTGGTTTTAATTTCTCTTTCTGTTCGAAGAGAAGCAATCACAATATCTTCAAGAGGTTCCCTGTGTGTTCGGGATTAATCGGGATAGTCCCTCGGCATGACAGAGTTTTTTAGACGGTAGGGACTCCATCTTGAAGTTATACTTTAAGAGGATTGTTCCCCATCTCCGTAATCTATTTGCTGTATTCACAGGCAGATCCTTTTTTAGAACCAAAAATGTTAAGTAATGGTTTATGGTCCGTCTGCAGTGTAAAGTGTCTACCGGGAATGTAACGGTGAAACTTCGTTACTTCGAAAATAATCCCTAACTATTCTTTCTCAATTTGGGTGTAGTTCTTCTTTACAGGAAGAAGTGTTCTCGACGCGCGAGCAACTAGTTTGTGAGATCCATCTGGCATCTTGTGTAGAATACATGCTCCAATGCCATACGAGTTGGTGTCGCTGAAAAGAATAATGTCCGACATCAAGAGTTCTTTTATTTTTATGAATGCTTCCTGGCATTCAGATGTTCACTCCCAGTCCTTGTCTTTTTTCACAAGTTCGTTTAGAGAAGCACGTAAGTTGTGCATATTAGGTATAAACACTTGGTAGTAGTTTGCCAATCCTAAAAAACTTTGTAATGAAGAGACGTTTTCGAGAGCTGGTATGTTCTTGATTGCAGTAGCCCGTTCTGGGTTTGGCCTTCTGCCCTCTTTGTCGATAATGTGTCTCAAGTATTTAAACTTCTCCATAAAGAAATCGCACTTGGATTATTTCAATTTGAACCCGTACTTCTGAATTCTTTATGGACATGTTCCTTGTTTTGTTATACATTTTGGTTGTTTATTAATATGTCGTCCAAATATGCAACCGCGAAGTCAAGGCCGCTTAGCATAGTGTCCATTACTTGTTGGAAGATTGCCGGTGCGACCTTGATCCTGCAAGTTAAACGTTGGAACTTGTAGAAACTACGAAGGGTGTTGATACAGAGCAACTCAGAACATTTTTCATCTACCGCTATTTGAAGATATGCGCCACCGAGGTCGATTTTTGAATTAAATTTCCTTCCATTTAGTTTCGCAAAATTTTCTTCCGAGCTTGCTTAAGGATAGTAATAGTCTTTCAGTACAGCATTAATCCCCGTCGAAAAATCGGCGCAGACCCGAATCTCCTTTGACTTCTTTTTCACATAGACGGTCGGTGAAGCCCATTGACTCTACTCAATTTTCGACAAGACCCCGGGTCTTTCTAGTCTGTCGAGTTTATTTGTGGTAAAGAGGCGAAAGGTACTTTTCTTTTTTTCTTAAACACTGACTGGATGTCATCTTTTAACTCGAATTTTGCCGTTATCTTATTACACCGACCAGCACCCCCAGAAAAAAACTTCCGGAGAAGTTTTTTGTA